GATAAAAATAATGCCCTAAAATATAATACTTTTAGACTATTCTCTCCCCCATAGACTTCAATGCCGTAAACATATTTCATCCAATTTTTCTCAGTCTTACCCCCACCCCAATGCCAGCCTCATTCTACAACAGTGGCACCATGTTATGATTTTTAGGAACATGTGTGAGTCAAATTTAATAACTTAATATTTAAAACATAAATAAAATATTTTTCTCATAAAGGTGTAAAAGGAGAAATCCAGGTATGTTATTATTAATAGAAATAGGATTATTCTCCTTTTCAAGAGGTAATAATGAACTTCCACAGTAAATAAGGAATAGATTTGGTATTTATATGGTATATATTAAATTTTAATAATGATTCTTTGTTATAGTACTTCTTACTCCATCCACTATCTTGAGTATTTTTAATATACTATTGCATATTCTCACAACAGTTATGCAAGTAATGTTAGCTTTAATTTGAAAAAAATGTGGAAAATGAGGTTGTTGTTGTTGGTAAATTATTCTAAATTTTTCAGTTCTAAGAAATGAAACTAAGATTTTAATTGATTTTTTTACTGCAAAAGAAGTGCCTACTTTTCTTTATATACTGCCCTACAACCAACTGGTTTCAGTTGGACATTTTGACAAAACTTCATGGGATAAATGCCTCACTTCACTTGAAAGGATACCTGTGGTGATTACATTTAAGCTAACTTAATTCAATTTCCAATTTTAAAAAATTTCTTAAATTCTAGAGCATGGCTACATTTATATTTCACTTTAAGATTGAAGACCAGGTGAGTTGTGGGCTAACCTAAAGTATATCATCCTTGATGAAAGCATAAAAGCCATTGCAAACACAGGGAAGAAAGAAAAGACTAAAATAAATGCCAAAAGGGACTTTGGAATTAGCATTACCACAGAAAGAAGATAACATTACGGGAAGAAATGCTCAAGTAAGAGAACTGAAGAGAGCATTTCAAAAGATAGCTTGAGAAGACAAAGAAAAACATTTATAAGGAAAGGAAAGAACATATTTGAAATTTCTCAAGTTGAAAGATCTGAAGAACATATTTAATCCATGAGTAGCAATACTGCAGTATTTTATAGGCAAAATCTTGTATGATCCAGAAAGTATCAAACAATCAATGGTAGAAGAAATACAGATTGGCGCCCCACTTGCTGTGCCAGAGAGGAAAGACCACAGGCACAGTGAGTTGTCCTTTCTACCATTAGAGTGTTGAGCTTGCCAAATGAAGTGAGTCCTCCTGTGAACAGAGGAACCTGAAAAAAATTCAGGTAGTCCTTCTCTGGAGCAGTTTGCTCTCTAACCAAGGTAATCAGACCAAGAACCGGTTAGGGCCCCAGGCAAGAAAGAACTCTATCACAATAATGACATTGTACTAATAGACTACCTTACAGTCTATACAAAACCAAAACAATATTTCACCCCAGAAAAGTGATAAAAACACAAAATCAATGGATTTCTGGAAGCCAGAAAGCCGGATGGAACTCCCTGACAAAGAATTAAAAAGAAAAATGATTGAATACTTTCAACTGGTAAAAGAAAAACTCGAAGAATTGCATGATTCTACATGAAAAAGCCAAGTAGAACTTATAAAAACAATTCAAGGAGTTCCGCTGCCAGACGGGCTGGGAAGAGACCCAGGAAGAGCAATAGTCAGCCATCCACCGCCGAACTCCAGAGGAGCGAAGACTACCCGCCACTGTGTGAACCCCCCCCTGCAGCCCGCACCTGTGTGGCCCCCGACACACAGGGTGCTGCTGCATAAACAACCAGCAGCGCCCAAGCCCCGCCCCCACCTCTTGGTGGTAGTGTACAAGCCCTGCGCTGCTTAACCCCCTAGTCCCTTGCTTCCATGCACCTCAGTGCCCACCACAGCCCTGTGACCTCAGGGCACCACTGCGGATCCAGCCATCACCTGGAGCTATCAACCGAGCTGTTGTGGAACTAACCTGGAAGAAGAATGGCCGGTAGGATCTTCTCTGTGTTTACTGGGGCTGATTATCTGGGAGAGCACCTAAGGGCGTGCCCACAGGTAGGGAAATTAGCTGTGCACTCTTGGGTTCCCACCCAAAACGAGCCAGCCAGCTGGCTTCTGTGAACTCTGCAGACCAGCCAGAGGCTAGTGGGTTGGTGGGAAGCTGACCTTGACTCTTCGGATCCTGCCCGATCCAGGACCCTGCTGGAGCATGGGCTGTTGTGTGAGGGAACCTGTGTAAGTGCCACCAGGCAGGGAACACTAAGAAAACCATTGGGTAGGAAACGGACAACAGGAATTTGAATAAGGACCCCAGTCGTGAGCA